AATATTTAAGTCGAGTTTGATGCATTTTGGAGACGAAAAACAGACATTTTGGGAGAGGATCTGTATCTCAAGAAAAAAATTATAGAAAACGCTTAACAGTGAAAAACTTAAATAAAAATTATGAAAAAAAAAATACAAAAAAATTTTTTTTTTTCAAAATTATCGTTTGCATTATTTGAAGGAAGAAATAAAGGAGTAGGAGCATAACAGGCCACTTTAAGAATTTGGAGAGATAAAATATCGAAATTAAAAAAAGGCACACAATTATGTGCCTGTGTTTTTCCCATCATAAAAAAATGTTCTTTTATTTGTAATCTATTGTAGTTGTTGTACCAAAATGCATCAAAACAATGAACAGCTGTTTCACATGTCATATTGTAGGTAGCCATATTTTCAAACTTTAATTAATTTTCTTTTAATTACAAGGCATTTATAAAGCGGATTCTTGATATTTCACATTTATATTGTTATAAAGTTTAAACCACAATAACAAGTAACAATTTTTAATAAAATAATCAATAAATAAAATATTGAAAAATATTACACAATTAAATTACAATGGGGCAACACACATTACAACTTAAATTACAATATGGCAACACACATTACAACTTAAATTATAATATGGCAACACGAATCTTTTTTTCAACCACCATTTTCGAAAACTCGAATCCGCATCTCGCATTTTTTGCGTCTCCCTATTCATTCAGAATAAGGCGAGAATGTGAAAGCGAAAATTTTTGTATGTGCGAGATATCTCCCAGCGAATATCCAGAATAAGGCTGAATAATTATTTTTTTATATATTTAATTTAATGTTTAATATATTTTTCTGTATACCAATTTTCAAGGTACTTTTTTTATATACATTTTTGTACTTATTTTATGTCATGATCTTATGTTTTGTATACTTTGAGTCCATGTTAAATTATATATACCTTTATTCTACTAAATACTACTTCTGCTCGACTTTCGAGTAGAATTTTAGTCTGGAGACAGATTGTTTTTTTTTTGGACTTTTGTAGCTAACTGCTGCTTTTGCTAGTTTTCGTTCTGATAATTAGTGAAATGTAGATGGGTTATTATTTATTGTCCGCTTTTATTGTCGTGTTTATTTAATACATTACTTTTTTAATTTATCTTTGAATACATATATGGTCTTCGGACTTTGAAATTACCATGAATAAATAAACATGCTTCATACGCCATATCTCTTAATGATAGATGATAACATATATCTGGAGACTTAAACAAATCATTCCTATCAATTCTACAAAAACGCATTTTAATTGGAACAACACTATCAGCCTTATTCTGGATATTCGCTGGGAGATATCTCGCATGCACAAAAATTTTCGCTTTCACATTCTCGCCTTATTCTGAATGAATAGGGAGACGCAAAAAATGCGAGATGCGGATTCGACTTTTCGAAAATGGTGGTTGAAAAAAAGATTCGTGTTGCCATATTATAATTTACGTTGTAATGTGTGTTGCCATATTGTAATTTAAGTTGCAATGTATGTTGCCCCATTGTATTTTAATTGTGTAATATTTTTCAATATTTTATTTATTGATTATTTTATTAAAAATTGTTACTTGTTATTGTTGTTTAAACTTTATAACAATACAAATGTGAAATATCAAGAATCCGCTTTATAAATGCTTTGTAATTAAAAGAAAATTAATTAAAGTTTGAAAATATAGCAACCTCCAATATGACATGTGAAACAGCTGTTCATTGTTTTGATGCAATTTGGTACAACAACTACAATAGATTACAAATAAAAGAACATTTTTTATGATGGCAAAAACACAGGCACATAATTGTGTGCCTTTTAATTTAATTTCGATATTTTATCTCTCCAAATTCTTAAAGTGACCTAAAGTGATAATTTTGAAAAAAAAAAAAATATTTTTGTAGTTTTTTTGTGTTGTTTCATAATTTATATTTAAGTTTTCATTGTTAAGCGGCTCATTAGGCAAATTTGGTTTTTCTATAATTTTTTTCTTGAGAGACAGATCCTCACCCAAAATGTCTGTTTTTCGCCTTCCAAATGCATCAAACTCGACTTAAATATTCATTATTACCTTTATACATTCCTTGGCAATATTTGGTTCATTTTATTTGCTGTTTTCCAGATAAATATTTGCTTACTATCATTTATAATATTCTAAATCGTCATAGAATAAGTATTGTGTTAATATTTTTCATAAAAATATTTATTACTTATGTTTTTGTAGTCAACTCACTTTGAATTTATTAGCGAAAAATTTCGCACAAAATTTCATCTCATTCTCCTACTCCCTGTAATCCAGAATACCTAATTTTTCCCCAAAGCGGATTTTTTCGCTTTCGAACTTCATTCAGAATAAGGCGAAAGCGAGAATGCGAAAAAATTCACACAAAAATGTTGTTCAGAATAAGACGAAGGGGAAGAGCGAGTAAATTCACGTGGAATTGACATCCAGAATAAGGCTGTATGTATATAGCGTAAACCACGGTTGAGTACATCTACCTCATAATCAATATCATTCACACTATATAATTCATCCAATCCACACACATCAAAAGCATCACAGCGCCACAGGATCAACTGAGCTGTAACCCGCATATTCATAAAACTGCTTAACACGATGACAAGGCAAATATAGAGACAAAAATATAAAGGAGTGGTCTGAAATACCAGGACACGAAAATTGATTTGATAAATCCAACAAATCAACACACGAAAAAAAACCAATAATGAAGTGGAAGCATGAGCAACATCAATATGCGTTGGCTTTGAGTTATGTACAACCGACAAATTCATTCATCCCTTACAACTAAACTACGAGACAAATTATTATCCCATAACAATTACATTAGAATATCTTACAACAATATCAGAAATTTCATCCTCCATGGCTGCATGGGAGCATAACCAAAGCTTTCGGGCTATCTGCACTCAATAGCTTGAATTTGGGAATCTTTTGACATCTCCACAGCCTCTCTCGTGTACACAGAGTTAAACTTGACCAACACAGATTTGCCCTTTGCTATGTAGCAGCAATGGTTAATATCGTAAGGCTTAATATCAATGCCACACAATGATGCAATTTTAACTTCTCACAAAGACACCAGTAACATCGCCAAGGAACAACGGCTCACGGCGCTTTTGGTAGTTCGCCATTAAAATACCTCTCGTGTATACAGAGTTAAACTTGACCAACACAGATTTCTCCTTTGCTATGTAGCAGCAATGGTTAATACGATTTAAATGGGAACATCATACTCCTGTTCTTATACAAAAAAAATATATGCTGCTCCTTAGTAACATTAACGCAGCTAATGTGAAAAAAGAATCACATAAACAACATCCAAAACTATTCTGGTTTCCCTTAACAGCACTGCTACATGTAGGGCACGTATATGTATTGCAAAGATAAACAGAACTCAGTTCTAGATACAAGGTATCAAAAAGGAAACAGATGACCACAACAACAATTCGAAGATCAGCACTACTTAATTTTGTTTCCAATTAATGTTTAGTACATAAACAGTTTTTGACCAAACAAGATCAAGCGGCAATTAAACCATTATTATTCTTCTTTTTGCATAAACAAGCGTGCAGCTTTAGCAGTTTGACTAATATTTGTTAATGGGAAACAATAAGACAAATCTCCATTTACAGCTGACGTCCGCAATGTGAATGATTAATTACATATGATAAATATTTCTTTGTTCTAAAAAAACAATACATTTTATTTCTTGTAGAAATTAGAGATTCAATTAGTGTATTCGGATATAAAATATCCTTACAAGTGCAAATTATTTCATATACTATTTCCTGGAAGTGTTCGAAGAATTAAATTGTGGCTATAAAACGTCGAAATAACATTCAGAGTACAACGTAAAACTACAAACAAAAATTGTAATCTTGGACAAAGAAGCAACAGAAAAATTTATGACGAAAATTCCTTCAGTATCAATATTCGTTTTATTGAAAGTGAAATAAAAAAGCTTAAAACTCAATAATAATTATTATGTTAATAGTATTAAATTGAAAACGCCAGAGATATTTTGTTCAAAATTTAATATTTAATTTTAAGGGTCGTACCTACGAATTTATTCACCTCAAAAGTTAAATACATGTATTTAAAATAATGTTACCCAAATACGCATTGCGTATAAAAATATAAAATTGAAAATTTTCAACATTGACAATGTGTATTTTGGAATTTTTGTTTTTTGAAAATAGAGTTCCAGTCATTGAAAATTTTGTTTTTCTATAAATGAAAACATTTTTCGATCAATTAAAAAATGTTTTCATCCATTTTTGCCATTTTCAATTTCAATAATAATTAACTGTGGTTAATATAAACTGATCTCATGTTAAGAAGCTCACTTCGATTATATCGGCACATGACATGTTAGACACATTAAAGTCATTGAATAAGTTTGTATTGACTTTTCATATGTAATATTAATATATTAAAAGTGGCTTGTCATGTAGATTTTCTGGACTAACACAATGTATATATGAAATACATAAATATAACAAAATAATTGTTTATGTAGGCGTTAAAACTCTATTTCGTAAATATTATTCTATTTGCATTTCTTGCCTGGCTGAAAACAACGATATATTCTGTCACAATCAAAATATATAACATGTACAAAATATCTTACTTTCTTATTTTAGATTTAGATCTTATTAGGAAAACTTCAAAACGTCAGTGTCACGCAATTTCGCTTTTAATAATAATCCTGTTTTCCCTAACATTAGGACTTTTGGTATTATGTTTCAGGATTACCTTTAAGATGTGACCAAATTTGAAGAAATGGTAAGAATTATATAAATGTTTGTCGGTTCATTTAAATATGTCGTCCACTTAGACCAGTTAAGAGGTGTTCGGTGTTGTCGATAGTGTAACATGTGTAGTTGAACATAATATGTGCCATTTAAATCTTTTATTTGCAAATACACATTCTAACTAAATAAATCTTTCATTGTATTTCAGGAATTGCCGCAGACAAACTGTCACCATTGGATTCATTTTTGGATCTTCTAACTGCCAAAGCTAGTCTAAACGAATTGGATTACAATTTACTTATTGAAACTACAGTGTCATCCATGGATCATTTGAATACAAATTAATTGTGTGCCATCGTATTTTCTCCATATGTGCTAAAATCATCTAAAATAGGCATTTGCATTTAAGATATTATTATTTATATTTCATTGGTATAATAACATATTTAGAATTATATACAAGTATATATTAGAGGCTTATAATACGCTTATTTATTTAATATATCATGGCATTATATCAAACACTAATGTATTTTAAGAACATACAAAATATTTCATGGCAAACATAGCAGTGTAAATGTTTGCCTTCTAGAGCCATTGACATATATTTTGACATTCCTTTTTTGTTTTGCTACTTATTATGAACGTATATTTTGTTATTTGTTTTTGTTGATATATTATTTCAAATAAATCTCGATGTTTTTCTTTTTCAAAAAATATGCTTTTTATAGATATACAATAAAATAATGTTGTGGTGAGTTCCATTTTATATGCCAAATAATTGAAGAAATTTTCAGGTACAAATGTACAATAATGTACCGTATCGGATGTATAATCCCACGGCAGCTGGTTCTTTGTACCGGATTGACTCGGAGATGGGCTCCGACCAGAGGCTGCCACCTCAACAATTACATGTTCGTCATTTTTGTCATGGGAGCGGCATTTTATCCCGGAATGCCTGCTCCGAACCCTACTGGTGCCGGGATTGAAAGTAACCCCGGACCTTGGTTCTGCAGTGTTTACAGAAACCGCATCCACCACAGATCTGTCTCGGTTAGATGCAATGGATGTGGAGAATGGGTGCATTTTCGAGGCTAATCTGGACTGAACAGGATCCAGGAGTACTGCGAAAGGAGTTACGTCGCTTCATGCTGCGCTAGCACGTCTCCCAGTGTGTATCAAGAGTCGTCGTCCGATTCATCATCCGAATCGTCATCGTCGGAGTACGAGACACCCCCGCAGTCTCCCCAACAGCAAAATGCGCAGCATTTAACACCACATATTGCTGTTCCGCGCCTTGAAAATGCATCGTTTTTGCAGTTTAAGTGCGACGGTCTTCGCAACAAAATCAGCGAAGTTGTTGAATTTATGATTCGAAAGAGAATAATGGTCGGTGCGATCCAAGAAACCAAGCTAACTGAGAACTGTAGCTTACAGACTCTAGTGACCCATACATGGAATGTATGGGCGTAGAAGTCAAGTGTGGAACTGCCGAGGTAGAGGTGCTCAATGTTTATATACCGCCGATGAATAGCTGTACACCGCGTTATTTACCGGATATCAGTCCGCTTTTAGAAGGTAATAACCGCCTGGTACTAGGGGATTTCAATGCCCACCATGAATTATGGCATTCCGTCCTATGTAATGACCAGAGGGGTACAGCGCTGGCTGAGCAAATTGATGCACGGTTAATGAGGATGCCCCACGAGGATAAGAGGAGATTCCCGCAGCTCGCCAGACATCACCATTGTGGCACAGGGTCTGATAATTGACGTAACCTGGCAACCCGTCGTTTCACTAGGCTCAGACCACCTTCCGATCATCGTCTCCGTAAACAGACCACCAGACTTCATAACCTCTGAAAGCCGTACTTTCCTGAACCATGGGAAAGCTGATTGGCCTGGCTTCAGAGAGTTTACCAATCACCGCTTCAGAGAGCTGTCCACTCCTTCAGATCCACGGGTAGCTGAGAGGAATTTCCGTAAAATCATCGCTACTGCTCCTGCTGGTCGAATACCCGAAGTAAGACCTAACTTCCCAGCAGAAGCAACGGTATTGGCTAATGAGCGTGATGAGCTCCGTCGTACTACTCCTGAAGACCCAAGGTTGCGAGAGCTTACCCTTGAAGTCAACAGATTAGTATGCGAGCACAAAAGGAAAAAGTGGCTAGACCACCTGAAGCAATGCAACATTGCCACCGGAACAAGTAAATTGTGGGCAACGGTTAAGTCACTCTCGAATCCTGGAAGGAAAGATGACAGAACGGCTGTTACATTTAACGACGTAACTGTAACAGACCCGAAGAGGTGCGCGAGTTATTTTAACCGGCAGTTCATAGAGCACCCCGAGAGTGACAGGGTGAAAAGGAGTGTGCTACGTCGCATAAGGGCACTCCGAGCTGAGGAGGAACCACCACAATTTACGAAGGAGGATGTTGCAGATGTCATTAATAACCAGAGATGGCCTGTCAGAAACAGTGACGTAAATGACATACATTTCCGACGTATAATACATACGTCAGAAACGTCGGAAACCTACCTAAATCCATTAGGTTTTTGACAAAATAGCTATTTCCATTAAAAAATTTGGGAATTACGCATGTTTTACTCAAATCTATATAAAATTTCAAAATTTTCTTCTCAAAAAAATTTGGAAATTTTAATCAGTTCTAGTAAGGAATAGTCAGATATATGTAAAAATAATATATATTCTTGAAAATAACTGTATATGCTGATAATATTGATATAAATGTCGTTTACTACGTTTATTACATTTTATACTGGTATATGACGTTTTCGACGTTTACACCTTTTTGACAGCCGAAAACCTAAAAATTCGTCACACGGACCATCCCTGTTAATAACGCTAAGTCATCCAAAGCGTTGGGCCCGGACGGAATTTCCATGGTAATGCTAAAGCAGCTGGATGAACCTGGAGTTGAGTACCTAACATCAGCCCTCAACTTGTCTTTAACCACCCACATAGTTCCTGAAGCCTGGAAAATAGGCAGGGTGGTCCCGCTACTGAAGCCAGGCAAGGATGCCAGCAGGGGTGAATCGTACAGGCCGATTTCACTCTTTGCGCCGGTAGCGAAGACACTTGAGGCGCTACTCCTCCCATCGTTGAGAAGCAGTTTTCCAGTTGCCCAACACCAACATGGATTCCGTAAGATGCATAGTACAACAACAGCATTACACGCCATTTCCACACATATTAGCAGAGGACTCAACCAGAACAGGCCGTGCAACCGAACAGTTATGGTGGCACTTGACCTATCGAAGGCCTTCGATACCGTCAATTATGCCAAGCTGTTCGAGGATATAGCGAGGACAAATCTCCGACCGTGTTTGAAACGTTGGATAATCAACTATATGTGTGGACGCCAGTCGTATGTGGAATTCAGAAACAGGAAGTCTAAACCCCGTAGAGTGAAACAGGGAGTTCCCCAAGGAGGGATGATATCTCCGGAACTGTTTAACCTCTACATTTCTGATATTCCACAACCACCGGACGGCATAGAGATCGTAATGTATGCGGATGATTGCACGATCATGGCGTCGGGTCCTATTATTGATGATATATGTGAGAGGCTAAACGTCTACATAGCCGATATTGTTAACTACTTCCATCTGAGGAATATGAAAATATCCACCACCAAATCAACAGCCACACTGTTTACCACATGGACGGCTGAAATGAAGCTCCCACTGAACATAATGGTCGATGGAGAATTGATTCCGACCACCAATTACCCCAAGATATTGGGAGTAACGTTCGACAGCCTTTTCAAGTCGTCCGCGCATGCCACTGCTTTGTGCGATAAGCTGAGAAGTAGGAACAAGGTCTTCAAGTCGCTAGCCGGCAGTACATGGGGCGCTGACAAAGAAACCTTGTTGACCTCTTATAAAGCAATAGGCCGGTCAGTGGTAAGCTATGCGGCGCCAGTGTGGTTCGCGAATGTCAGTGATACGCAGTGGAAGAATATTCAGACCTGCCAGACGCTGCCCTGAGAACTGCAACAGGGTGTCTCCTTATAACTCCAGTGGACCATCTTCATGAGGAGACGAAGATCATACCCGTCCATCGTCACAACTATATGTTGTCGATGCAGTACCTGTTTGGGTGTTATCGTCAGGAACATCCCTGCCATAGCCTTATGGACAGGACTCCCCCACCCAGGCACGTCAGGAAAGATCTTCATGATCTAGAGAGAGAGGTCCAAAGGTACAAGCGTGAACCTCTAGATCAAGAAGCCTATCAAGCAGGTCTGAATGATATTCACACGGATGCAGTCGCTCTGACAGTAGAGCAATATAGAGTGAATACCATAATTGGAGACCACCCCCCATCCATCGCAGCTGAGGAGAAGCAGCTGCCAAGGCTAACACGAGTAGTCTTAGCTCAACTAAGATCAGGATGGTGCAACCGCCTCAATTCATATTGGGCAAGAATTGACGGCTCGATACCTAACACATGTCCGGCATGTGGACTAGGACCACACGACACGTTGCACCTCTTCAATTGCCCAGCTAAGCCTACTCACCTATCGCCGAATTCACTTTGGACGCAACCCGCTGAAGTTGCAGCATTCCTGAATTTGGAGGTAGAAGATGCAGAACCAGACGATGCATGACAAAACGACATGTATTCTGTTGCTACAACAACAACCGTATCGGAACTACATGGTGATACAAAATTTTATTTAAAAATATTTTTGTAATTTCCCATATATAGCTAGAATCTGAAATTTTTTTTATGGAATACATATTGGGGAAGTGGTGTTGATGTATGGAAATGGTTTAAGAAATTCGTACTTAGGTGTATGTAAAGTACTGAATGGTACTAAATTTGGTTCTATTTGCATTTAGTTGAGCGTATAGAGATTGAATCCTGGAAATAGGATTTAGAACTACTATTGGTGTACAGGAGACTGTAGCACATTCGGCACTTTTTTTGTTTTTTCGTCGAACTTTCCCATCCCTGCCGAGCTTTATATTCATGCAAAAGTCTACGTTAGAATACACAGAATTGAAATCAATACACATTTTACTATGTGGATCTCCCATAGAATAATTTGTGCGATGAAAATTTACGTATAATGGTGGATAATATCTACTGGATCGAAAAGGAACATTTATTCTAATTACCATCATAGTGTTGAACTTAATACGTCTACTTTTTAATGTAGGCAATCGAATTAATTTTAATCTGCTAGTGTAAGAAGTAGTCGCAGTGCAAAAAGTAGAAATTGTTTCTGCACTGATTCAATTTTATCGAAATATATTGTATATTGGGGATCCCATACAACAGAGCCATATTCTAATATGGGTCGGACAAGAAATGTAAAAAGTTGTTTTGTAATGTAGGAATCAG